GGAATGATACAATGTTCAGAGTGTGGAGAAAAAAAAAGTTGGAAGAAGGCCAAAAGCTTCAATGTTGATGAGAGAAGAGAGAGAAAGGCAGCAGCAATTTTGAGAGATCTTGTGAATTGTCAGAGAAAAAAAAAGGATGGGGACCACTGAATGTTTGGAAGAGATTTGTTAAAAGGGACTTGACAATCACAAGTCAGCCTTTTTTTTTTCCTCCATGGTGTTTACTTACTGCTTGTAAAAATATTTCTGCCTTTTTACAAATTTATTTTCCTTTGAATGTTCAATTGCTTACTGCATACCTGTGAACTCTCTAGGCTCACTGCCATATTCAGAATCTTTCAGAATTTTCAATTATTTTTGTTGTTATTTTCACTTCTAGTACCTCTTTTTGTTTCTTATAATTGTTCTCCTCATCATGTTGTTCATGCCTGATCAAGCACTGCCAAAAGAAAATTGACTTTAGTCAGTTTAGTTTTTGATCTGTTGTTAAATTGCTTGTGTAGCTAATAGGATTATTTTTGATAATCCATCGCTAAATAAGATGAAGGGTTGATGTTGTTGTTTAGTTACAAAATTTTCGGTTGCTAATTCATATTTTAGCAGTGAAAAAAGGTGGCCATCATAATTAGATTTTGGAGTAGTTATTAGTTTTTCTCCTTGATTCTACTATTTTAGTTTTGGAAAAGAACTGTTTGATGTATCATTTTGTACGCATGTTGTTGTATCTGTAAAGAATCATGGAATAATGTTACGTTTTAAGAAAGTTCCAAGAAACCAAGTTTTTGTAACTTGTATAAAAATCTATCGAAAATAATTTTTCTATCTTTCGAATGAAGACAAGTATATGTACATTGTATTTTTCTCAATTCCGAATGAAGACTACACAAGGTATGTCATTGTTACATTATTATATATACTATAAATTTATGTTTTGCAGGTTAATTATCATTCATATATTTGAAATAAATAGTTATAAGTAATTTGTTTTTACATAATCCTCCTGCGTCCAAATTGGACCAAAACCCTTTGTCAGACTATGATTCCCTCGAGGTTATGAGCTAAGATACTGATTACTATTCTCTTATTGGGTAATTAATTTTTTTCCTATGTGAATTAGTCATTAGCTCCGAAAAGCCTGATTTGGCCAAAATCATTTAGAACTAGTGATTAAGTTAAACATTCTAATCAATCCTTATGTTGTTGTTTTTTTCTGGCTCAACTGATTGTGGGGTGTGATGGATCGACGAGAGAAATTTCTTTTATTTTTAATTAGAGCTATCGAATTCAACTTCAAATATTTATTGAATGATTTAACTTTAAAATTTAAGGGTGAAAATATTGTCACCTAAGTTAAATGAGGTCTACATAATATATGTTGTGATTTGTAGAGATGTAAATCTATAAAATTTGAAAGTTGTTAACTCGTTTGTCTGTTGCTTTGGCAGCATGCTGGGATATATACACATATCAAAATCATTCCAGCTATTTCTCAGTTGAGCCAAAAAAAAAACAAGTTTAATAATTATATTTATCAATAATTTATTTATCCCTGTCCCTCTAAACTCCTAAACCCTGGTTTAATTATATAAAATAAATATAATATAATCATAAGGGCAAAACTAATAGTATTAAAAAAAGTATTTCTAAAATTTGAAAGGAAAAATTTGATACTTGCCCCCTTCATTATAATCAAACATTTTTTAATTAATTATGTAGGAGTAATTAACATAAACTAAACTTAAATTGTAATTTGATATTGTTTCTATACACTTGGAGAATCAATTTTTTTTTTCTTTTAATATCTGAGTACGTTTTTCAAAATGTAGTTGCTAGTATTTTTAGTGCAAGAATATGTACTTTATTTCAAAGTTTTATGAAACTGGCATTCAAATTCGTACGAAAAAAATCAATTAATTAATATTCTTGTAAGCGTGATTTTGTTTCTCCTTAACTGAGAACGTGTGTGCATGGAAATTATGCATGGAGATCGATAGTACTAAAGTTTGAAATTAAACAGAATCTGGAGAATGTGTGTGTATGTCACAGTGAGAAACCCTAGCCCCTACCTTATAGCATACAATTATTATGACATTTTCTATTCAACTGCTTCGAACTTTGAAATAATTGTCAAAATATAAATATATTCTGTTGGTTTAATTTAAGGTAGTCAAAACTAGCTACTTGTATTAGGTAGCCTCGATATATTCACTTTCATTCTCTTGCCTAGGTTAGGTAAATAGTGTTTGTATACTTTTTCCGGTAATTTATTTGTCATAATTTAATTTGACGTGAAATTTCAAAAAAGTTAAAAAGATTTTTAAATCATTGTACTGCATATATTTGCTAAGTTGAAAAGTAGAGAGAAATATGATGACACAAAAAGATTCAAGAAAGGTTATATATGGTTAAACAATTTAGCATTATTCCAGAGCAAATTTGGATTTTATATATATATTTTTCAGATTGGGTGAGCGAAAGACGAAATGTAACGATCTTTTAATTAAATTAACGAATGCAGATGTATCTACGACCAAAGAAAAATTTGAACAATTTTTGTAGTAACATTTGTTAAAAATACTTTTAGGTAATTATTTTTGTGCACCTTCTGATTTTTATTAGGAATATCATTCTACAACTATCGAACTATAGTAAGGTGTTGGTAAAAATCATAATGCATATTTTTCATCTTTACTCTCTTAAGCGGTTTAAGATTCTAACCTCTCTAATTGGGAAGAGTTTGCAAATTTTGTAAATGGGAGTAGAATAATTGGGCTAATGCCCCAAGTGTGGTAGCAATGCAGCTTCAGACTCCTTAAAACTTGAACAGCAATATGATGGGCCATTATAAATATTGGGCTTTGACAAAGATGAATGGAAAATAACCTTAAATACACAACTATAATTTTTATATTCTCCAATTTTCCCTACTTTTTTTAAATATTACATAATTTCCTATTTTTTTATTTTAGTATAAGTTTTTAGATACATTACACTCTCTCTCCTATAATACACATTTACCAATTTTAATGCCTATTTTTTCTCCATTAAAACACTCAATCTCTTAAATCAGTTTTTGAATTTTAATTTTTTTCCATTTAAACACTCAACCTTTTAATCAGCTTTTTAATTTTGAATTATTAAATTTAATTAAATTTAAATAAAAGAACAAATTTTGAAATTTTGAATTTCAAAATTCAAAAAATATGGAAGCAGGGTAACTTCCACTGCATTCTACCGTTTTGTTCTTACCAAAGTCACCTTTCACTTCTTTTTTTTTCCTTAATCGTCTTCATCCCACTATTTCTTCATAACTTTGAATCTTCTCAACCCAGCAGATTTTTCTATTTTCTTCTTTTTATTCTTAATCCATATTCGACTATTTCTTCCTAATATTGAATCGTAAGAACCCAGACCCTTTTTATAGTTAATCCATCATCAATTCGTATATTCTTCTCTTTTTCGTTTTTGTTAATTGTTCTATTACTTCATAGTAATGGATCCGTCAATTAATAGAAGGATATATGATTCCGATGATGATAATTGGAAAGAAAATAGGAAAAAGTTTTTGCATGATCCTATGAATCTTCAAAAGGATTCAAACAAAGACCATGGCGAAACATCAAAGGTTGTAAAAATACAACCAAAAAGGAAAAAAGAAGCAGCAAACACTGTTGTTAGGCCTACATTGTCTCGGGTTAGTATTTTGGTACTTAAAAATGGTGTTGTTTAAATTAGTAAAATTTTTAAGGAATCAAGTGTGCTTGCTGATACATTTTAAAAAGGGTGTATAGTGTTTTAGATGGTCAACTGATACGTGAATTTGTTGTGTTTCATAATATTTTATATGTATCATTAGGTTTTTGAAAATTATTATAATGTATCATTCAATAAGTGTAGTAAAGTATAATCTGTGCTTGATGATACATGTTGAATCTGTGTGTACATTGTTTAGTCAATGTAATGATACATGTAGTAGCTATGTATCACATGTTCTGCATGTAGTATGAATTCCTGTATGATATCATGTATCGGTAAGGTATTAGTTGTTTAGTTGATTTACTCATACATGTTTTGAAACTTGTTATAATGTATCATTCATTAAGTTTAATAAATGTTTCATCAGATATAGTTGATGATACATATAGATTCTTTGTGTATGTTGTTTAGTCGCTGTTTATGATACATGTATTAGACATGTATCACATGTTATAATGTTTTATTTAATTCAATGATACATGTTATAGACATGTATCACATGTTTTTCATATAGTATGAAATTCTGAAAACTGAAACCATGTATCATTAAGTTATTAGTTGTTTTATTTAGTAGTTATATTTCTATATCGTTTTAATTTGCGGTTTTATTTTCAAATTGCAGCCACTGAAGTACAAGATTAAAAAGATACCAACACATCCCATAAGGTTTGCTGTCAACTTTAACAACAATTTCCTAAAGGACTTTGAAAAATACGTGGGGGATAATGTTATCCAAATGTTTAAGGATACAATTTTTGGACCCCTTTTAGACATCTCTAAATGTAATTTCCAGGGCCAAATAATTAAGTGCTTATTGCTTTTAGAATTGGAACAAAGCAACCCTAATGTGTTGCATATTAGACATTCCAACGGGTGTGTCCTGAAATTTGGTATAGATGATTTTGCATTATTAACAGGACTTAAGGTCAGAGAAAATACCAATGATTTCAAATACCCAGAACAAACTAATTGTATGCTTTTTAAAAAGTATTTCCCTGGTGCAGTCAATAGTGTTACAAAGCATCAACTAGTTCAAAGGTTTAAGATGGGTAATTGGGAGAGCAATCAGGATGCACTCCAAATGTCTATACTGTTCTTTATTCATACATTTGTATTAGCTACTATTGATAACACAGCGATATCTATTGTCGACTTTCTAATGGTTGAAGATGGTAGATATCAACATTTTCCTTGGGGTCAGCTATCATTTTTCAAACTAATTGGTTCACTTAGACAGAATTTTGACGTTAGTAAAAAGTTGTACCGATTATATGGGATGCCATATGCACTAAATGTTTGGATATACGAATGTGCATCCAATTTAAATTCAGAAATAGCTGTGAGAGAACGCAATGTCATCCCAAGAATATGCAATTGGAGAGTTGTGTCTGAAAAGGCAAAGTTTGAAATGCTTATGTCCACCATTTTCCAAAAGGTAAAATTTTATTTTTGTATATGGAACATCGTTATGTTATGTCTTTGTGATACATTATGAATTATTACTGTATCTAACAGTTAAATTATCTTATGCGTTTGTGATACATTTAGAATGCATGTTCAAACATTGTCCCAACAGCAGAGGAAATTGAAGCTTTTGATATTGCTCAAGTTGAACATGCTCATTCTACATCAATACCATTAATACAACCAAACGAGCAAGATGATTTAGATGATTTCTCCACAAGACCGCCAGAACAGTTATTGAGGACATATTCTAGAGTGTCTGATACATCTCCTCCACCACCGCCAAAAAGAAGAAAAAAATCGATTATTCAAAAAAAGAAGGTGTCAGAACAGAAACAGCCTGATCAATCAAATGTGTCTCCGACACCGGATGATGATGTACATGTTTCCATGTCAAGTCTGCCTCAACATTCGAATGCTGATGATGTACATGGTTCTGTTCCACAAGTGTCACCGAAATCGGCTGTTGATGTACATGGTTCTGTTCCAGACGTTTCTCAGAACCCGGCTGCTGATGTTCATGGATATGCAGATTCACAGAATGTCAACAATATAATTTATCATATTGAAGAGTTGAAAGGATATTTGAAAACTTACGTAAGTAAATTATTTTGTAATTTTTAAACAAACTTTTATTTATCCTAAATGTATCTACAATTTTTAGGTTGACAAGAAATTTGAGGAATTGATTATTTTGATAAAAGCAAATCACTCCCAGCTGATGCAATCTATTAGCAAAGAGAACATCAATTTTCAGGCTGATACAAGCACATTTCAGTCTGACAAACAAACATCTCAGCAAATACCGGTTGATCTCGATGATATGGGTGGTGTAGCTGAGGATGGTGGTGGTTTTTCTGGTAAAAATGGTGAGCATCATATCGTCGACGATGCAGGGGATGTCGATGTGGATGGTGTTGGTGTTGCCGTAAATGAGGGTGAACCAATAGTCAGTGATCCAAAGGTAATGTTTATGATACATTGGGTATGTTGTGTATCATGCACATATAGTCAATGCTTTGTATCATGATCATTTTTTTTCTCATTTTATATTCTGTCATGTATCATACATATTTAATCAATACTATGTATCATGTGATTGTTATCAATGTTACGTATCAGCACAAATTATATTAACAGTTTTTATTTCAAAACTGCATATTCAGGATGGTGACGCACATCAGTCGCACCAAGATTTAAATGAACATATCATGGACCAAGCCGTTGACGACAATGTTCATCACAACATCCCTCATGTGTTGCCCGAAAAAACAACAACGGATTCATCGGTACATTTTTCAATTTGATTTATGACACACAATTTCATTACACACAAATTTATTCTAAAAATCATTACATCATATTATACAGGATTCTTTAACTTCAACAACAATATCGCCATCAACTCAAGCAGCAATAGATGCGCTTATCAAAGATTTGGGTAAAGATGCTACCAATGCTAGACCATTGTATTCTTACGATCCAAAGAATATAACTAGAAGCCAGTACTCGTTGACCGACAGTCAATTACCCACTGAAATTCCAATAACGGAGATTGTTGTTAAAACTGATGCAGTCACTCCTGCGCATAGAAATAGAATGCCTTCGAGAAGGATTCAATCTCCATATTGTACTTCTTTTGGGTCAAGCGAAAAGGGAAAAGAGAAATTGAAGGATATGGCTCGACTCCATTTCCCGTTCGAAGGATGTGGCATTGCAGATAAAGTTTCGCCGAAACTGATTGAGGATTACATGAATTGGTTGTTGAGGGGGCTTCTAAAAAATCATAACAATAAGTAAGTTTTATACATTTTTTTTCTCAGTGTTAGGCGTAATCATTTTATATACAACTAATTCATGATACTTTGTTATATAAAAACTGTAAATAATTGAGTGTTATGTATCATGTACATACATTGAAAACTTATGTATCATATATGCAGGAACCCATCGGACGATAAATACAGATCAAGATCTTCTTCTTTTGGATTTACGATGATGGACTTTGTTGTTGCTTTTCCAATGAACAAGAATTGGTTTTATGCCATGTCACAGCCAAACAAGTGTTGGTCTGATGAGGTAAAATATTAAACTATTTATGAAATATGTATCAGTTATAACTATATTATAACATCATGATACATTATCTATAAGTATCATACTATTTAATTAGCAATGATACATTATGTATAAGTATCATACTATTTAATTTGCAAAAGTATCATACTATATTCACATAATTATATTTCTTTTTTTATATTGTTTAGATGTAAATAATTTCTTACTCTGTTTTCATTTTGTTTATAGCACATCGATGTGATTTTTTACTACCTTCGTAAAAAATCAAAACTTTGCAGCATGCATCAATACAGATACACAACAACCCACTGTTTGTTCATGTCACATGTAAAAAACTGTTATGATAGATATTACATGGACAATGATGATGATAGTCTTACTACACAAGAACATATTGATCGCGCTTCAGTTGTATCTGTACATGAGAGGTCAATAATTAACATCATCAAAGGGTTTGGAATACCAGCTGCTTTACCATGGCATCTTGTAGATGAGGTCTACATCCCAATTAACTGTGATCAACAATTCCATTGGGTGTTGGCTGTTGTTGAGTTGAAAAACAGGTCGATAAGGGTTTTTGACTCATCAATTAGCACAAGGAAACAAACAATTCCTCATGAGATCAAGATGTTGTCTAAAATGCTTCCTTCATACCTACTTGACAGTGGATTTTTTGAATAAAATGAACGCACAAAATTTGCTGATTGTCAAGCATATAAAGACAACAATAATGGCTCACTTCTGGAGCCTCAAGTTCCTTTCATGATAGAATTTGCACAAGACATCCCTACACAGGAAAGCGATAGCCTGTAAGTATCAAGAATTTTTTCATTTGCCCGTTTTAATGTATCATTAAGTTTTTAATTTATTCTGTATTTTTTGTAGAGACTGTGGGTTATATGTTACTGCATTTGCCGAGTATATCAGTGACCAAATCAATATATCTTATGCTGATTTTAATCCTGATTACCTGCGTCAAAGATATGGAGCATTGCTGTGGAGTTATGGAAGTGAGAAGGCTAAGTGCGGATATGTTAGCAACAATGATGATCCACCAAAATCCAGGGGCGTAGTCACACCACCACCAGAAGAAGATTTAGTTCACATAGCGTAGCATTTCATGATAAAACAATGTTTAAATGTTATATTTATTATTTTTATATGTTATTGAACAACTATTTTTATCCTTTTTAATGTTATTTTTTTTGTTTTGTCAATTTCCATTAATATTTTTTTTCAACATTACGTAACAAATTTGTTTATATTGAAGATATAAATATCAAATGATAGACGTAAAGATTTTTAAATTTTTAATTAAAAATAGACATAATAAATATACTGACAAAACCAGGTTTAAATCATTTAATAAAGTATAATCAAAGTATTTATAATCAAACATAGACATAAAGATTTTTAAATTTTTTATTTAATCTAGATGATACAATGCTAAAACCAAATGATACATATGTACCAGAAACACACTAAAAATAACTGATACATTGGTCAAACCGTATGTATAATGTACAATATGTTACACTCTAATCCTTAAATTTTACAAGATATTTAGGTAAATTGAATAGCATATTCATATGAATTGCTATTATTTTTTTAAAGGAAAGTTATTTACTGTATATTTCAATAAAAGCATATCAAAAAAAGCATTACACAAGTTAAATTATATAAATTCACATGATACATGATTTATAGTCATTCTAAAGTACTCAATAACATTAACAATATATTTGTATTTTTTTATCTAATGGAGATGTATCATTATGCAAACCAATGATACACACTAAAAGTACATGATACTTTATATAAACAATGTGTACAAAAAATACACAATAAATGTACATGATACACTAGATTAACCATATGTATCATGTACATTATGTTATCTTACTGTAGCATAAGATTTATATATTCAAAACAAATATTGACACAAGTATTTTTATCAACACCAATAATAAGAAAGTATTTATAATCATAAGCACGACTTCAAATGTAATTACCACATGTTTGTACGTTTATTTATCTAAACACAAAGTGTTTAATTTGCAGTCGTAATTAAAACTGAAATTCATTAAAATGTTTACGTGATAAATTATTCTTTATATCATAGAAACATTACGACAAATTCACTTCTCTTTTGGGTAGAAAGTACAAGTTCTTCTGTTGTGCCCTTCTTGTCCACATTGTCCACAACAGTTTGTGTTCACCGAAATCTTTTCATCTGCATTCTTTCTTCTTCTTTTTCTTGGTCGTCCAGATGATCTTCTGTATCTAGGTAGATACACAGTTTCAGCTACCAGGTGTTTAGGATCTGACAAATCTTTCTTATCTGGCATTAGCACCATTGGAATTTCATATGTTTTTGCCAACGCATCAGGCTTGTAATAATCAGAGCAATACGGATTCATATCGGTGACATTCTTTTTTTTTAATACAGCGATTGCATTGTGAACAAGGTATCTCATCTAGTTGAAATCTACCACAACAACATACTTTCCGCTCAAGACAAACAATATATCTTCTTCCATTTTCATAAACTGAGAAAATAAACTCAGATGATGGAACAACCTGTGTACATTAAAAATTTTAAATATATAACTTTTAAAAATCAAATCATGTTAAAAAAAGCATAATGATACACAGAATTAGATACATATAATATAAAGTATCATATAATGATACATACCTCCATTTTTGAACTTTTAGCCGCGTTTATAATCAACAATTCCTCAAATTTTCTACCTAATGTGTCCTTTGTGTATGAGGATACTTCTCTGTTTTTGCAATGCCAAGATCCAAAAAGAATTCTAACCTCTTCCAAGAATTCTAATATAGTTAATTAGCGTGCTTCAACAAGACAACCATTGATACATTCTGCAATGTTTGAAGTCATCATTCTACCTCTGTTTACTGTTGCATGAACTCTTGACCACTTTTCGTAACCTGCATATTCAAGGTACTCCTTAACCCTGTGATCAATTATATCAACCTTAGCCATCAACTTATCAAAATCTTCCTTTCTATATGCTTTGGTCATAGAGTAGAATAGATCACTTATGGCCTTTCTGCTCCTTTTGAAGTTTCCACATACATTCTTCCAAAGATGCCAGATGCATGCATAATGAGGTACATCGGGGAACATAATCCTTACACTCTTCATGATACTCTCATTTCTATCTGAAACAACACACATATCTTTTCTATCGCCAAATGCATGTTTGAACTGTTCGAAAAACCATTTCCATGAACAATCATTTTTGGTGTCAACAACACCATATGCCAATGGAAATATGCAACCTGATTACACACACATTATATTATTTGATACTTAATATATAAAAAGACATCATTACTATAAATAAAAAATACTTGCGCCATCAAGTGTGCTTGCTGATACAAATGTCCCTTTGTAAGCTCCACTCAGATGTGCACCATCCACAACAACTACTGGTCTGCAGTATTTAAATCCCCTAATGAATGGTATTAAGGCGATGAACAGATACATAAATTCATCCTCTTCAGTCTTATGCATTCTTATATAAGAATCTGGATACACAATTTTTAACATGTGTATGTATCGCGGCATCCGTCTATATCCAGCAGATGGTTTTCCTCTAATCATGGAGAGTGCACGTTCTTTAGCACGCCATGCTTGCTGGTAAGATATTTCAACACCATAATATTCTCTAATATCATCAATTATATCCCTTGGTGTATAAATTCGTTTATAATTGACCAATTTTGGAGCTGTCACTCCACTTACAAATCCCACTGTTGCTTGGACTTTGGTTAATACCCTCTCCCTCATCGGACACGTATGTTCACTATTGAAATTTCTAACAATGAATATATCAGATTTTTTCCTGCACGACGCCTTCATAGTCCAACCACATTTGTCTGAAAAGCATACCAACACATAGCTGCGTACATTTTTTAAGCATATTAATACACATATCAAATACATCATATATAATATATTCAACAATAATGTTTAAAGTAATCGAACAATGAATCACACAAAAAGTATCAACCAATTTTTAAGAAAAGTATCAAACTTTTATGAAATTTATCCACTATTTGTGATATGACTGTTTAAAATGATACAGTCCTTACTATATCAGTAGTAGTACTTTCAAGTATCAAATATACTTATTTCAATGTATCAAAAACAAATTCCAGAAATGATGATACATTAGATTATAAAATAACATATGAAACTTGCAGGTTTTCATATAGAACAGTAATGTTTCATGTACTAATTAAATTATAAAACAACACATGATACATTAAAATATCAAAATACTGTCATACCTTTGTTGATCAGACCTCTTCACTTTGCAGTTGAATTTGTTCTTTATCTTATATTTCGTCATCACATCTACAAGTGTTGTTTTATCCTTGTATATCTGACCTGTCTTCACATCAACAATATCTGAATTGATTATAACATTTGCAACTCCAACTTCTAAATTTTCATGTGTCTCAAATAAGCTATTTTCAACTATTGCCAAAGCCTGAGTATCATTTGTTGTGCCTTCTACACACGTTATTTCTCCACTTCTTCCATCAAAGTTATGTACAGTACCACTATTCTTCTCAATTGTGTCAATACATAATGGATATATTGAAAATACAGGCTCGTTTTTTTTCAGTTCAAAATATAGTTTAACACTCATATCGTTCTTAAGTTTCATCGGACAGGAGTTACCTTCTACAATGTATCGAATTTCAATTTCTTTCCTTGATACATCAATGTCCAACTCGACCGCAATTGCTGCTTTGAGATTAGAAAACGAAATTGAATCTCCAACAACGATTCCATCAATTTTGTAATTTTCATACTGCAATTCGTTCACCCAAATTCCGGAATGTCTCATCAAAATCGAAGTATTCATCTTCAAAAAAACCCACTGCAACAACAAAAAAATTTCGGCAGCTCCAATTGTTTTCTAAATAACTGATACAATCTTTGATTTTCAAATTATGAAATTAATATCCAATTAAGTGCCTGATTTAATGCTGATTAATGATCTGTTATCACAAATTAAGTTGTTTTAGTAACAGCTTTAAATTTACCGTTTTTATCCCCTATTTTTTCTTAACAGTTTTAAGTTACTATGTATCATTTACCATGTATCACAACTTTCTAAAGTATCACGGCTCAGCAATTTTAAGGGATTTTTTATAATTATTAAAATTATCGGGACAGAATGTAATTATTGAATTACACTATGGGATTCCTTAAATTTATACAAGATGAATTGTCATTTTTGTTCTGTGTTTAGTACCTCTTACTTCACTATTAATTGTTGTTAGTCGAAAGATAGGATCTAATTCTTAGCTTGGAATTTAAACTTGATTGGTTGTTACGATAATGTATTTGTACAAACTCAAAGTTTGAGAGATCTGATAGGATGTGTATGTCTATTTGTTAGTGTGAGACGCAACATAGGATGTGTTTCTATTTATTAGTGTGAGACACAACATGGGATGTGTTTTTATTGTGACTGTGCGACGCCATATTAGACGTGTGAATATACTTGTTTAAATTATACAAATTTAATTTGATACTTATGCATATCTAAAGCTAAAAAGGATATAGATGTCAGTTAAGACCAAATTAAAAATCATGTTTATATATTATGTTTTGCATTTTGTTGTTGCTTGTTCAAGTAAAGAATATGACAACGTCCTTTTGAGTTTTGACTGCGGTTACCGGCCCTACTAAAAAGTCACTCTTTTTTCTTGAAAAATAATTAATATTACATCATAGCTATTTTGATTGAATTGATGAGAAAATAAAATTTATGAAGTTTCTCAATATTTCAGCACAAATTTATTTTTCACCATGTGTTTGACGTAGCTCAATAAAAAATGAATAGGAAAATCAAGTTTTATTACACAAGTTGTTCATTATTTCTCGGTAGAAAAACCTTTATTTCTGATAATATTAATAAAGTAGAATAAAAGAATTTTTGAATAAACAATAGAAGTGACGATTGAAAAACATATAAATGTTCACCACTTCAAAATTTGATTCATATGTTACAGTTGAAAATCCAAATTGAGAACACATGAAATGAAAAAGGAGGGAACAATAAAGAAACACAAATTATTCAAATTGAGGGAAATCACATACGATCACAACCGTCGAATCCAAACCTGCAGCCGTAATTTCTTCCAAACCATATGATTCATTACCAATCACAACCGTCAAAAAATTCTAATGTCACAACCAAAACGCAAAACAGAAAGCCCCAATCGCCAACGCCGCCACGTTGTTCACGCTATCAGCACCCGATTTATCCGCCGGAGTATCATCGCTCCCGGAGCTCGGACTCAACGCTGCCGGAGACTTCTTCTTCAGATTCGACGTTTCTGTAGTCGCCGGTTCCGGTGCTGTGGCCGGCGACGGAGAAGCAAAGATACTCAATGGCTGAAGCACTTTATCCACCTGATAAACCGCGAGCTCGCCGTCAGTATATATCGTATTACCTACAGTAGCATCTACAATTCCGGTGGACACATTCACTTGATTCCCGGAAGTCGTTACATTTAACGGGAAATCACCGGGACTAGTATCTCCAGCTTGAGTCCTCAATGGATTACTCACAGTTTGAAACTGTGAAACTGAAATAAAACTAGGAAGTACATGAAATTGCACTAACTGAACTTGTTCTTGAGAACTTAGAGAATTGAGAGTTCCCGCTTTTAAGCTCGAAAATGCATTATCAGTAGGTGCAAAAACAGTCATTCCTTGTTTCGAATTATTCAATTGTGTATTGATCTGATCACCAGCTTGAGTAGTTCCTAAGAGTCGGATAAATGTGGTGAATTGACCGGCTTTTTCGAGTATTTTCGTTATATTGGTGGGACCCGATGGAGCGGGAGCAGAGGCAGGATTCTGACCGAGGGTGAAGGTGCAAGAATGGAGGAAAATTGCTAAGAGGGAAAGAGAAAAAACAAGATGACTCATCATATTTGCTATGAGAAATTGAACTTTGAAAGATGATTGGTGCTTGAGAAATTGAGGGGTTTTATGGAGAAGAAAATACAAAATTTTGTATGGTTGGTGAGAAGTTGGAAATCATGTAACTGTATAAACCAATTGACAGTAGTGTAGAATCTCTCAATTTGGTGGGAGGTTAAAATTTTATTTTGTTTGTCGAACTTAATGTTTTAATTTATACATCGATAATGTAAAGATAATTTACATTCACCGAACTTCTAACATGTTAGTTACCATTTTATCAGGTTACAATCACTATTTATCATAGAAATTTACTTATCATTATCGTATAAATGACAAAATTGTACTAATTAGAATCTGTGAGTTACTGTTATTGACCATAATTAGAAACAGACGGGTGTGGAGGAACTATTACAGCTAACATTTTGCTTGGAAATACAGGAAATTTGGAGAGATCTGAAGTTTGGAGTTTTCACAAATATTAAAGTATTTTATGATTGCTTTGCTTATACTCATTAGAAATTTTAATTATGGCTATGATTGGCTTTCCACAAACTTAAAAAGGAAGTTTTGTTTAAATTCAGTGTAGTTCTTGATCATGATAAAAATAATTTTAAAAAAATAAAGTTATTGATCATGATTCATGTGTGCCCATCCTCTTCTATTGGTTACTTATAATTCATCAACCTCTAATTAGGCACACTTTTGTGTTGTATTAAATTACATTCAATTAATATACAGAGAAACTGAAATCGTTCTTTTTTCCATAGTTGGGCATTGAGGTGTCAATTGTCATGCCACGTGACGTCCAACTCATTGGGATTCGATGTCCACCGTGGACAACCTTATAGATGATGGTATATTTGAACCATTTAAGTAATGTCCGCACATTTTTTTTTTTAAAGAAAAGTATAACGAAGGGTACAATCGATTCTTTTCACCCCCTTAGAAGGGAAAATTTGACCCTTTCCCTTCAAGGAATAAGGTGCACCAAACAGACTGCTAGCAAAACTTGCCTTAAAGTATTTTTGATTGTAAAACAATGAATCAAAATCTTGAAGAATAACAGGAGTTAGACAAACTTGAGCTATTATGTACAGTAATTTAAGCAACAAAATCTTGAAACAGGGCATGAAAACTCTACAATTCGAGACTTGGCTGTCTCGTGAAGCATCAAAAGAAAACGATGCTTAGTTGATATTCCAAAAAAAAAAAAAGAAAGCTAGAAGTTATCCAATGAAGATTATTGCAATGATGATACTAGAAACTTTTAATGTATTGTCATCAGTATTCTTTTTTGAACAGCTAGAAAGTCAGGTTAATCTGAGGTTGCAATCTAATTAGCTTGGCGTTTTAGCACGCTGCACCATATCTCATATTATTCGAGTTCCTTAAACTTGAATGGAATGCAGCTTTTGAGACCTAAACTGGAAAAAAAAAAGTTATTTTTATCTATAAAGGTGCTAGTAATATTCTTACAATCAACTATATCCTAAACATAGTTATGTAAATAATTCCACAGAAAAGCAATCCAAGTGTAGATGGAAAAACTACTACTATTACTGTCGGTGTATAGAAGTTAAATCTCTTCTCATAATTCATCTCTTGCGTTTCCATTCTCCCTCTTGACGCCTACTTTAGAAGAAGCTGGTCTCTCAATCTTGAAAGGGATAGCTGCATTTTTCTTGATAAACTTATACAATGACACTAGAGTAGGTTCAGTATCAACCAGGATCTGTAGGATCAAATACAAAAATAACTATGCCTCAGTCTCAAATGAATTGGAGATTTGTAGAATCATTAGACATTTGGCATCTTACTTGGTTCACGTAGCACAAACACAAACAAAATAATCATCACTTACTGGATCAATGCTCTTATTTCCTGCTGGAAAGAATTGGAGACTCGGGAATCCTATAAACTGCAAAGGATCATAAAAAAGAAGAAGGTGATGATCAAGCTACTAAATATTGTCCTCTTCAAATCCAAACTGCGTATTTATTATAAACTACCTTAGCACGAGGGTGCTCGTTACTTGTTCCTTCCATTTTGGCTATAACAAGAGACTCAACGCCGTGTAAGTGGTGTGCTAGTTTATTGATCATTGGCTCCAGAGCTTGGCACTGCCTACACCAAGGTGCATAGATCTAACAAAAAAGAATGATAAAGTTACATACCAAAACTTTGATCCCTCAGTTGATTACAAAAACCAATGGAAGAAAATTCATTTCTTGAACATACCTCAAGAAACACGTCTTTTGATTCATTGAGAATGATTTCATCAAAATTGTTTCCGACCACAATTTTCACATCAGCATCATTCTGTGATAATTACAGATGAAATTGAATCACCACACGTATGATGAGTTAAGTTAGAGGCTAGAAGGAAACTGCAGCTTACTGTCTCAGGAATCGGATCTGATTTATAGAAAGGCTTGAGCTTGTCTTCGAGAAAGTCCTCATTAAAAGCCTGGGGGAATAAAAGACAATAAACAAGTTAGTTTAGAGAAATTCCCAGCCAAAATTCTGTGCATCTAACAACCATTTGTGACAATCTACCTTAATCTTCTCGAGTGTAATGTCCTCGTTAAATCTAAACTTCTTGCGATTATCTTCTTCTATGTATCCAATAACCTACAGGAATTAAATCAACAATCAGTAACCAATTTTTCCAAAAGATCTTGTTGTGCCCATTATAATGTTGAATAAGAGTTACCTGTGGACCATCTCCAGTGACCCCAAAATAATCTGATACCGGTCTTCCAACTTCCTCATCGTTCGTTTTGACAAAAACAAAGTTGAGCTTCATTTGTCAATGTACATACTATCAGTTATTACTAATTTACAGTCCCAAAAGTAAAGGGATCAAAAAAAAATTGTATGTTTAGGTGTATGATAGATAGGTAGTTATCTGTTCATGTTACATAATTTAATTGATAATTGCACGCAAATGAAACAGAGAAAAAAACACTCAAATCTTTAACAGAAACCCTAGAATTCATGATCTCAAGAATTGATTAACCTACTTAAAACCGAAGCCTTAAAACAACAGTACTCCAAGTCGCGATTTCAAGCATTGATCAATCTACTCCAACATAAATCGTTATAAACTAGACACGAGCATTCTTCGTGTAAAAGACTTACATATTAGGTGATAGCGCCGGTGCAGTCTATAAACTTCTTTTGGAAACCGTTCTAACAGTATTTCCACTCTACTGGACTATATGTAATTATGTCCAAGAGTAGCAGTATTGTTATATGTTTGAGAGTGAATAGAGCTTCATTACCTTTCCCTTGAAAAGTTTTGCAGCATCTTGAAATGTTGGGAACAACTTTTCTGTATCATTTTCTGAGGCGAAAAGTAAAATCTGCATAAAACATAGGGGGGAAATCAATACATTAACAAGCAGATACACATTTCAAAACAAAAATCATAATAGTTGTTAAACAAATGATCTAATCTTACATGTTTCTTAATTGGACTTGCGAAAATTAAAGGGGCGGTTTCTTTAGTAAAAGTTGTCACTAAAGGCAGCTTGCTGGCAGAAACAAACTTAGCTATTGAAGATTTTTTGAATTTACCATCTGAATTGCAAAATGAAAAAGATAATAAGAATGTCTCGCAGTTGAGATTCAATTCAATTCCAGTATCAAAAAAAAAAAAAAGATGAAAGGAGCGGCTAACCATAATGCACCACTTTCTCTGGCTCCTTTTTAAGCATGACCAAAGCAGGGCGTTTAGCATTTTCTTCTATGTTGAATAGCTTAGCCACGTTAGGATCTGTCGTCTGGTAAAAGTTAACATCATTTTCTAGTTTTGAAACAGCTGCAAGTTGTTTAGTCACGGAACCCTGTAAAATGGTTGGACATTAGTAAACTTATGAGAAATGAAATCATAACAATGTCAAGTTGCAGATAGACAATTGACAGCAATACACAACAAAAAGAAGATATCGATGTTATATTTAGAGAAATGATAACACAATTGCTTTTTCACTAGAAAAGGAAAATGATAAGCAAGTAGCAGTTCAACAACATACCACCAAGGAGTCGAGATATGCTAGAACAACTTTGTCCTCGGAGGTTAGTACACGCTCTGCATCCTCAGTTGTTGTTATATTGTAAACGCCGGATCCTATCTTCTTCTTTATCCAAGAGACAATCGCATTTCTACAGGAAAAGCTCCTCATCAATTTCACATCCAAAGATTGATCTAAGAGCTAAAGTTATAACTTTAATTGATTATGAGAAGCAAGATCATATTAATTGATTGCCAATACCAGCAACATTATAGTGATACCAAGCTTATAATCAGCTAACATACATGTAGCAATTCAAAACTTTTGACTTTTTATACTAATGAAACAATGGTATATATACCGATACCTATGCTTGTGAAATGTAGCATGTTATTGTTAATTAGTACATCTCAAATTGGCTTACACGCATTCTTATCAAATGAATATAAATGTATACACATATGTCTGTGTATGTAAATGTGTGTATATATATAAAGCGGACAAGATGACGTTAGTGTAGGATAGAGAGTTGAAGCAATGGATTCATCTGATTATAATACTTTCGATAAAAGCATAAAGTTGTGTAAAAATAATTAGAATTAGAATAAACAATATGTCTGAATCCATAAAATATAAATCATGGATTCGCCGCCTCTGGACGACATACTTGGTTCTTCGGCCTTTGTAAAGTTCGGGATCACTATTAACGAAGAAAAAAATCGTAGGAAAGCTTCGGACATCGTAGCTATCAGCCGCCTCAACCTCCTTAGCAGCATTGATCTTCGCCAGCACTACATTTTCTGTTTTCAGCTCCGTTGCAGCATCCGCGTATTCCGGAGCTAGAGCCTTACAATATCCGTTCCAGGGGGTGTAGAATTCCAGCATCACATACTTATTATCTTCCAAAAAATCATTGATGTTACTATCAGTCAATGCTACAACGTTCTCATCATCAATATTGATATCCTCTGCCTCTTGAGCGCGATCAAATGGCGGCGAAGAAACCTCGGGAGGATCCTCATGATTCGGGGTGTCTGGTTCGTCTGAATCCTCGTAGTCCTCGAGGAAGCTTAGGAATTCATCGTTGTCGTCAGAGGATGCT